TCAATACCAGTTTAGCAAGTGATGATGCAAATATTATGAGAAGACAGTTTTACACTCTAGTGCTAACACTCCTCCCTTTTCTTTCCCAGTACAGGTATGTGTACGCACACATGCACACGTGCACATACTCTCTCATGTCCTGCTGCACTGAATTCATCCCACCCCCAGACTACACTCACCCATAATTCCACATTTTTGTGTCTGGAGCCTTCCTCTCTCAGGCACATCTCTGTGCCTGGCAAATGCAAGCTCCTCCTTTGAGCTTCAGCCCACGTTTCCCAACTCCACACTGCTCTTTGCAGCCCCCAGGGCCATACATATGCCTACATAATCTTAACACTTAGCCATTCAAGTCTGTCCCCTCTGCACTGTGAGCCCCTGAGGTGAGGCTGTATCCTGCTCCCTCAGGGATAGCTGGGGTGAGGTGGAGAGCTGGGATGTGGAGTCACATAGACCCAGATATAGGTCCTAGGTTTCTTTAGTTACAGTGTATGCTGCTCAAGATTCTCTGATATCAGGGCCAGGGAGATGGCTCAGTGGAATGAGTGCTTCCCTGGCAAGCCCAAAGGCCTGAGTTCAATCCCCGGTTCCACAAAAAAAAAAAAAAAAAAAAAAAAATTATCTGATGTCATAGAGTATGGATACTCAGGAGGGCCACAACTCAGCTAAATAAACCTGGGCAGGCCATTGCCTGACAGGGAGAGTATTTTGCTCCTTGGCCATCCAGGAAGGGCTCATCTCATGTGGGCAGGAACAGCTCTCCAAGGAACAATGAATGAGTAAGCCTACCAATGTAGCCCCACGTGAGTCAGATCTGTATGTGTAAGGATCCTGCTGCTTTTGCATGGGATGTTGTAGCTTCTGCTCACAAAAGCAGAGCAGGTTGACTAGGAGGACATCTCTCTTCGGGGTTCCCAGGTTCCTGGCTATGTGGTCTGTCCCTTAATGGGGCCACCATATGCCTACCTTTCGGGTACCCTCATCTCCCCACCACACCTTGCTCCCTGTTCCTTCACCCATGCCAGGGCTGTCTCTATTCTCTTGCACATTCCTTGTCTTCCCACCAGAGGGGGCAGGTGACTAGGGAGCAATGCTCTGAGGATAGCCTGGCCTGTGAGGGCTTGAAACCCAAGGGACCCTGGCTGGTTCTCCTAATGTGGACCAGGAAATGCTAGGTCTTGTCAAGGTCCCTGTCCTTCTAGATCTGACATTCCAAGGGATGATCTACAGTGCAACAGCATAAATGCCCATGAGAGGAAAATGAATGAAGCTAGGAAGGAGAATCAAATACCAGGAGGGGGTCTGAAGGGATAGGCTACTCTGGAGCATTCACAGCTTTGGAGGTGGCCATTGGTGACTTGGCTTTGATTCTGAAAAGGTATTAAATACAATAGAGTGTGACTTGACTTGGGTCTCAGCGACCCAAGCTGCTGTATCCGAATAGATGGGGGAAGGGAGAAAACAGGGAGTAGAGCATGGAAGTGACTGCACTGGTCAGGCAGTGGGGACAGGGCTGTGGCAAAGAGAGGTGGTTGGACTAGCCTTCACCCAGGTTTTATCCTAAAGCAGGACAGAGTGAATGAGTTGAGGGGGTAGGAAGTAAAAAAGAGGAAGTCCAAACCGATCCCAATGGTTTGGCCTTGAGCCTGCTTTCTCCTTTGTAAAACAAATGGCTTAATTCAAGGTATCATAAAGATTGAATGAGCTGATGCACGCCAAGGATCTGGCCATGTTGGAGACCCCACGGGACTTCATTGTCTGCAGGGCAGACTGTGGATCCTAGACTTCTCCCTCACAGCCCCTGCCAGTCAGTACTGTCTCATCTGGGAGAGAAACCCACAGTAGTAGTGACACACTCTGCTTGTAACTGAATGAGCCTGAGACTTTCTTAGCCCCTTCTGCCACCACTTGGCCTCCCAATTCTAAGTACTGTTGGCAATCTTTGCATCTGATTCCTGTAGCTTTCCCACTGTCTCCTCAGACGTCCAAGAGACAGGAATGGAGGGTGTGCAGGAGCTGAGGTGGGGGAAGTTCCTGACCCAGTTCAGGTTGGGTCAGATGCTTGGAATGGGCTGGTTTCTCCTCTTCCTTAAGATCTTTTGCACTTAGCAGAAACAGCTTGTTAGGTCTGAGAGTGGCACTTTCAATGCAAAGCCAGGGCAGCTCAGGCCATCAGGTAGTTGTTTATGTCCTGCTTCTACCATGACTGAACTCTCTAAAGTTCATTTTAATTTCACAAATCAAAATATGACACATTCTTTGTTATGGTCTGTATCTAGGTATCCCCTCAAAGCCTCATGTAGTCACTGGGGCAGGCTTTTAGAGTTTGTGATTAACTTAAGACATAATGCTAGGGGGCTGGTGAGATGGCTCAGTGGTCTAAAGCACCTACTTAGAACAAGCTTAGCAAAGCACAGGGACTGCAGTTCGATCCCCCAGCACCACATGCCGGCCAGCCCCGCCCCCTGGTGGGCTGAGCTGGCCACACACACACACACACACACTAAATAAATAAATAAACTTTTTTAAAAAAAAGACATAATGCTGGGATTAAGGGTATGAGTGCTACACCCAGCCTGGGGCAGATAGTCTGAATGCAATTTAAATAAGGGAGAGAGGTTTGTTCTCTGCCTCTGCCTCTCTTGCTACTGCTGTCATTTATTGTCCCTTTGCTCTTTGCTGTTTTTCACCTCCATGAACTGCTGCCCTCTGCCACGTGCCACTCTGCCTTGGAGCCAGCCAAGTACAGACTGAAACTTATACAAACTGTGAATTAAATAAACCCTTCTTCCTTGACTCTGGGTGTTGAGTATTTTGTCCCAGCAAGAGAAAAAGTTAACTGAAACATCCTTCTTATACAAAGAAGACATTAAATGGCTACAAAGAATCAAAACTCCACGGGGAAATAGCTTATTCCAGATCTGAGATACAAAGTACAACACAATCTTGATCCTGGAATGACTTGTACCAGAAAGTGTAAAAGCGCTAAAAAATTATTTTTTTGTTTTAAAAGGATACAAAGTCAGCTTGAAGGAACTCCCTCTTGCTAACACTGGTATCAAAGTAAATTAGGAGAGTAATAAATTGTTATTCACTGAGTAAAAGAAGAATCCATAGATACATACTACAAATGAACAAATGAGCAAGAAGTTTTCTCTCAGTACAAAAACAATTTTGTATGTGTGTAAGTCTTTTTGAGACAGAGTTTTGTTATGTAGTTCAGAATGGCCTTGAACTCATTTTGTAGCCCAGGCTGGCGTCAAACTCACAGCATGCTACCTCACCCTCACAAGTGCTGGGATTACAGGCATGCAACAACCAGCACATTCTGCTACTAAAGTAATTTATAAATGGAGGACAGATGGAAATAGTAACTTATCTAGCATGGCAATAATTTACTCAGGAAAAAAGCATCAATTAATACTAAATTACAAGCCAAAGTTTGAGGAGTAACAGTTTATTTGCAAGGCCTGTCATAGCCATCTCATGCTATGACACTGTGAAATGTGCAGAGGCATGCAGATCCACACAGTGTCTCACTTGGAGGGTGCACTGAGAACCCTGCAGCACTTCTGTAATGGTCCTGCCAAAAATGCACAACCTAATCTACTCATGAGGACATGTCAGTGTGCACTCACTGGCCTGCTGTCCTAAGATCAAGTTGAAGGAGTCTAAGGAAAGCTGACAACTGAGTGCAGTTGGATTTTGACCAGAAAAATCACTTCTCTACAGGATAGATTTGGGGATGCAGGGTGACTGAAATATAGATGGTACATCGGATAATATCAGTGTGTGGTGTTTCATGATTTCTATTGTTATGATTTCCTTCTAATTTGGTCTTGAGGCCTCTCTTTTGAATGGCCTTAAGTCAAGATAGCCATGTTCACTTTCTGAGAGGGGCAGGAGGTGTTGTGCGTCAGGGGAGACACGTAAGTGAAACCCAAATGCATAAACAGAAATTTGTTACTCATAGGTCCTAGAGAGACTGAGGGAGAGGGCAAGAGAATAGGAGGCACTGTAGACCACCTTTTGAGTGGGCCACGGGTATTATCCCTTAGATTTCCTTGGGGGGAGGGGGCTGGCCTTAGCTCGATGTTTAAGTGGCTGCTTCCACAAAGCTGTCAGCCTCAGGTTGCTGTAGTTCGATCCCCACAACACTCCAGCCAGCCAAACCACCCCTGAGGGCATTCAGATAAAAAAAAAAAACAAAAAACAAAAAACAAAAAAACAGATTTCCTTGTGGGGAGAGGTAGTTGTGGAGTGTGGGTGGTTTGGAAAACAGTAAGAGGAAGAAGGGGGTTAGATACAAACCACCATACAGGCAGGGGAACTTTTATGTAGGCCCATCGTGAAGGGTACAATTGTTTCAAGTAATTTAAGTCACGCCTAAAAGCGGGAGTGCCCCCCCCCCCCCCGCAACTGTGTCAAACGCATTGATGTCTTCGCTTCCTTGAAACAAACCCTGAAGGTCTGGAGGTCCTAGGAGGAAGCAGCGGTTGGTCTAAGGCTCCCTTGAGCACCCAGCGCACTAAGCTAACCCGGATCCCTTCGGTGCCGCCCACAGTCTGCCACATTTCAGCCACAGATGCCGCACGGAGGAGGCGCCACACCGGTCCAGGTTTCCATCACAAGCCGAGCAGCGAAGGTGTATCGGCCGCGTGCTCCCTCGTAGTTACCTAGCTCGTCCAATGGCCTGGAGCTCGAGACCCCGGCGTGTTCAAGGTAGCTGCGAAGACCTGGCTGGCAGGTACCGTCTGCGAGGAGAGACTCAGCAGCATCTGGCTGAGATGTCAGGCACCGGGCACTTTTGGCAGCGCAGTGGGCGCGCTGGCCACACTGCAGCTCTCGCTACGCGTAGGCTGAAACAGCGCCTTGGCTCTCTAGGACCGCCCCCTGCGAAGTGAGAGCCAATCAGAGACGGGAGTCGGTCGGGCGCGGGGCACAACGGGAAGTGTAGTTGGCGAGCCGCGGGACTGCAGCCCCCAGTGTGCCCCGCGCGCGGCGGGGAGAAGCAGTGAGGCGGCGCGGGCGGCCGTCGGGGTTGGGCGGCGGCGGCTGGGAAGGCCTGCTAGAGCTTCGGAAGGAGCCGGTCTCGGCGCGCGGCCACCATGTCGGCGCCGTCGGAAGAGGAGGAGTACGCGCGGCTGGTGATGGAGGCGCAGCCGGAGTGGCTGCGCGCCGAGGTGAAGCGGCTGTCTCACGAGCTGGCCGAGACCACGCGCGAGAAGATTCAGGCGGCCGAATATGGGCTGGCGGTGCTCGAAGAGAAGCACCAGCTCAAGCTGCAGTTCGAGGAGCTCGAGGTGGACTATGAGGCCATCCGCAGCGAGATGGAGCAGCTCAAAGAGGTGAGCCGTCGCCCCGCCCTTCCGCGCGACCCCCGCCCGTGACTCCTGCCGGGACCGGGGCCTGTAAGGCTAAGGTCACTCCCCGTGGGGTGGGGCCGGCGGCTGGATGTGGAGGACCGAGGTTTGGTCTTGGCCGGCGGGCCTGTGCCCCGCTGCGGCTGCGGGTCCCGGCGCGCAGAGCTTGCTCGCCAGCCAGCCTGCTCTGCGGGCCTCGGCGGCCCCTTTCCAAGGGTTGATGTGCTCTGCTGAGGTCGTCGCGGCCCCGGGTGTATATGTGCTTGTGTTTGGTGGGGTGGACGGGCAGATGCTAAGACCTGAGACCGTGGACACGGGTGACCCACTTGGAAAGACTGGGCCTGGGTCTCTGTGGGCGTTGCTCTGTCACCTTCAAGCTTGTCACTTCTCTCTGTGCAACTGATTTTGGGGCATTTTATCTCATTCAGTGAATGCCCTAAGGGCTCGAAAGGGCGTGAATGGGAGCCCGAAAGAGTCGGACTCTGGGATGCTCTGGCTGTTGTCACGGATCGGTTTCCGTGATGTCCCCAGTGTGCCATGATTGCGCTCCCACAGCCTGGGATGCGTGGTTTTCCTTGTCCACTTCCCATCCTGCTCTCCTTTCTGGGTTCTCTGCCTCAACAGGCCCGTGGAGGGCCTATGTCATTGCCATTGTTGGGGGAGGAGGTTGGAACCCCCAGGCTGATGGCTGAGGCCTTGGGCAGTCTTCCAGGAATGATTAGTGTTTTCCATTCACCCTGACTCCTCAAACCTTTTGTGAAGTTTGGGAGGGAAAACTTACTTTCTGAGAGAATGCATTCGGGTTTGGACCCTAGTCCTACCCATAGTTAGGGATGTGGCTAAGGGGCGCCTTCCTGAGCCTCACTTAGCTTTCCTCTCTGGAAAATGGGGGTACAGCACTGCTTGTCCACAAAGGGTTGTTCTGAGGATTGTATGTTTGGAGAAGCATGGTGAAGGGAGTTTGTTTGTCCCCTTCCCCAGCAGACTCTCCTGGGCCTCCCCTCCTGTCACTTCTGCTTCCAGCCGTCCTTGGGCAGGTGCAACCCTTTGAATCCTTGTTGTCTTTCTGGAGAGGCTAGTAGGATCCCTTTCCATGATAGTGGAGAGGAGAGAATGAATTAATCCTTAAAACCCAGGCAGTGTAGGTGTTCATTAGCACCAGTAAATGACTGCCTGTCTGGACAGATGGGCATTGATTGGGTACTTGCACATAATCCCGAGGCTCTCAAGTGTGTTGCTCGTAGACATTGGTCCCTTCTCCAAACCAGGCTCCACTGGTACTGGATCTGTACAAGGGTTGGGATGTGTGGCTTTTCCTGCAAGGTCCCCCAATCCTGGATTGAGATATGTGACAGAGGGAAACTGGGGGCTGTGAGAATATGGGGTGGGTGTGCCCTTACCCCATTTGTGGTCTCTGTCTTCCCTCCCCCCTCCCAGGACTATGGGCTAAAGCATCCTATAGGTGGGCAGCCCTACCCTTCTCCATGGAGGGCATGTGAACCGCTCCTAGCCAGCCCCCACAGTGTCTTTTGTGTTAACAGCTTTCTTTCAGTAGCATCCTCTGTGAGAAGAGACCATTGATGACCTAACTTGTACCCACTTTGGGGCCTTTCAGTGGTCAGCTCTTTACTGCATGGACACAATTGTTATTGGTCTGTTGAAGAGTCATGGCATTATCTTGTGAATCTGAAGGGAAAGTCCCTAGCAGAATTGGAAAGAGGATGTAACTGTTTCTGTACCTGCTGTTTAGATGTCTGCTTGTTTAGTTTAGTGTGACCTCTGGCCTTCTTCACATCCTTGCCCCATGAGCTTGCACAGATTGCTCCTCTCCCCTTTGTAAGGTGGGGTAAGGTTTCTGCTCAAAGTTCCTAGCTGGTTCTAGAGGAATGTGCATCATGAGTTTTAGTAGGGTTGCCAAAAGCTTTTGCCAGCTTGCCTCCCATCAGTATTGGCCTCACACCCATTCTAGCACAGATTCTGGTTAGCCTGTTTAATTTTGGTCAGTATCATAGTAAAAACATTTAAGTTTTATTTAAAAAGGCAAGATTTAAGGAGACAGTATTTGTGGGCTTCTCTCCCAAAGAAGTGAGACACTTTGATTATTTTAAGTTTATTTCTTGAACTAAAGTAGTTTTAGTTACTAACAAGTGCGATAGATGGAGTTGCTTATATTCCTTTGTGTATTTATAGATTAAAACCTTCCTGTGGGAAGGATCCTGGCTGACTGGTCCCAGGTGAGGGCATTTATGTCCAGAGCTGAGGACAGTCCTTTGGTAGGTGAGTGGATCAAGGCCAACTCTGCTGCTTTTGTCCCTGTGAGGTATCTTTGTCCTGTGGCAGCTATGGGCCAGGTGGTGGCCCAGTGGCTGATTTTGCTAACCATTTTTTCTCAGTTTTAATCTTTTATTAGTATATGTTTGTAAAACATAATGATCGCTTTCCTTGTGGGGAGTTGCTACATGTACATAACACATTTTAATTCTTCTTCATCTTCCCCTAGTCCTTACCATCTCTTACTCCCTTTCTCCTTTCAATAAGATGTTTCCCTAGTTCCTATTATCTATTTTCTGTTTTTCTTTTTATTTATATTTTAAGTTTCTCATATAAGAGAAATCATGTAGTATTTAAATTGTGTGTCTTAATTTTTATTTATGTATTTATTTATTTGGTCTTTTTGAGGCACGGTCTTGCTGTGCAGTTCAGGATGGCCTTGAGCTCACTTTGTAGCTCAGACTGGTTTCAACTCCCAATGATCCTCCTGCCTCAGCCTCCCATATGCTGAGCGTACAGGCGTGCACCACCATGCCTTGGCTTTGTGTGTCTGATTTATTTCATTTAACATTAAAGTTCTCAAGATGCATCCATTTCCTTATGAATGACTCAGTTTATCTTTATGACAGGGTAGTACTCCATTGTGTGTAACTACCACATTTTCTTTATCCATCCATGGGTTAATAGACATATAGGCTGCTTCTAAACTTCAACCGTTTAGAATTGTACTTCCAATTGCTGGTATTCTTTTGAGTCTAACTCATCAAGGGTCACAACCATCTAAAGTCACACTGTCCTCTCTCTCCTGCCTCAACATGATAGGAGGGAGAATTTTCTAACTTTGGTCAGCCAAATAATGTTTGGGATATCTTGCTCTCTGTCCTCAGCTGTAGCTTCTTGGAGACAGTTGTGCTGGGCTAGTAGGGCAAGGCAGGCACTGTTGGTATGTGGGCTGAGTCTGGGTGCCTTATGTTTCTCATTAGAGAGGGGCCTGTGAGTGGAGAAGTCCATAAACAGTCTTGGCTCCACTGGGCTTAGGCTGCAGGGGTAAAGCTGAACACTCTCACTGCCTTGCTGTACCACTAAAGGTGATGCTGAACTCTGGGGTGTCACCCGTCATTGTCTGAGTGGTGCATGTGTGTGGAGATGGGCATCAGAATAGGCATGTCACATAGCAGGTGCTTTTTCAGCCTCTCACATGGGCCTGGATCTCATTGTACCTGCAGTTCCTCCCTGCAGGTAGGCGCTCCCTCTGTCAGTCCTGGCTTAGTTTTTTTTTAATCTTTCTGAGACAGGGTCTTGCTGTGCCGTGTACAGCTTAGGCTGGCCTTGAGTTCACTTTGTAGCCCAAACTGGTCTTGAACTCACAGCAATCTTCCTGCCTCAGCCTCAGGTGCTTTGATTACAAGTGTGTGCTACCACGCCTCATCCTGGCTGAGTTTTGAGTGACTCCTGTTGTGTCCTTCTGAGGGCCACTAGTTGTGTTCTGCCATGCCAGTTCCTAGGGGCATCCTGCTTCTGGTGTTCATACTCTCATTCCTAGAAGCTCTCCTTACTCTTCAAGTTTGGGCATCTCTTTGTGGAAAGCTTCCTGGCTGCTGCCTTCTGGACTTGCTCTTGCTGTTCCCAGCCCTTGGCCCTGTGGAGGAGGCAGGGATAGTGCAGGGACCTAGAGGAAGACCCTGGTATCCTCTATCAAGTTACTAGAAGTGAGGGCCAACCTCCTAGAGCAGTGGTGGCAAACCTATGACATGTGTGCTGCTGCAGACTGTTTGTATTATTAAACGCTCTAAAAGGGTTGACATCACTGTCCTGGAGTAGTTGCTTCTGGAGTAGAAAAAGTCCTGATTTTAATTAAGGCAAGTAGATTTTTTTGCTCCTCTAATCCCCACAGAGACCATCTTTGCATCCATGTCTTGAGCAGAGAGCTGTTGGGGGCTAGGAGTCTCTGAGAAAACTACAGATCTTTCTGAGGGCTGGGTGGTACTGATATATCTGTATGAGAAAGCCTGAATTGAGGTGGAAGTTGGATCCTGTAGACTGAAAGTGGCCCTGTCCTCACTTCCTGTCAGGAAGAGGCCGCTGTGTGGTCCCACTTTTGTTACTTACTGTTGGGCGACTTCTTCCCTACTGGCTCCTCTTTCCAACTACCAAATGTGGGGTGGGAGCCATGATGAAATCTTAAAGAGCCTTTCTCTTTAAAAAATGTCTCACATCAAGTCCTACTGCAGTTTTCTGCAAGGCCTGGGGACTAGGCAACTATGCTTGGTGGAGAATCTGCCCCAGGCATGTGAATGGCTACTCCAGGCCAGCCCTGCCAACATGTGGAGGAGTGGCCTTGGCTGCCTCCCGCTGTACAAGTGGCTGGCACAGCTGTGATGGAGCAGGGCCATCTTCAGGGATGCCAAGCATGCTTTGAGGCTTAGCAGGTGGGGCCAGAGGAAAAGCCAGTCCTGTGTGGGGAGTCTGTAGGCCCTGTATTGCCTGGTCAGGAGGGGAAGCTAACATTATGTGGTAGAGCCTAGCCCTGTGTTTTCTGCCCTCTGCTGCAACACTGAAAGTGTGGAGCCTACCTGGACCTTCGGGAACTGTGTATCCTTAGATGGACCACTTTGCCTAGCTGGGCCAAAATTGGTGAATATGGTGCTTGTCACAGCAACGTGGCACTCTGAACACTTGGATGGTTGCTACCCTTTTGTCTTAGTTCTTTTCTG